TATATTAGTTTTGAGATGTTTCTGTGCACATGTTTCCATTTTAAAGCATTTTTTAAATATATTTTATTGATTTTTTACAGAGAGGAAGGGAGAGAGACAGAGTCAGAAACATCGATGAGAGGGAAACACCGATCAGCTGCCTCCTGCACATCTCCTACTGGATATGTGCCCGCAACCCAGGTACATGCTCTTGACCAGAATCGAACCTGGGACCTTTCAGCCCGCAGGCCGACGCTCTATCCACTGAGCCAAACTGGCTTCGGCCACATGTTTCCATTTTAATTGAAATACCCACGAGTGAGATTTCTGGATCAAATGGATCACAAACCTAAATGTAAAACCTAAATCTATTAAACTTCTGCAGCTACATTTTCCAATATAACTTTCTGTAGTGATGGAAATATGCCCCCCTATCTCCTGTTCACCATCCCTTACAATTCAGTTCAGTTATTCGTGTCAATTTTATTTTCTTAAGTGTGGGTTGTGCGTATTGTAGCTGTATTAGATGCAGACCTGTTATATACAGACTAGAGGCCTGGTGCACGAAATTGTACACTCGCGGGGGAGCGGGGGGTGGGGGGGCAGGGTCTCTCAGCCCTGCCTGTGCCCTCTCACAGTCTGGGAGCCGTTGGGGTATGTCAGGCTCAGGGCTTCTGGCTGAGTGGCACTCCCCCTGTGGGAGCACACTGACCACCAGGGGGCAGCTCCTGCATTGAGTATCTGCTCCTGGTGGTCAGTGTGCATCATAGTGACCAGTCATTCCACCATTCAGTCGATTTGCATATTAGCCTTTTATTATATAGGATGTGATGACTGGCTGATGGAGGTGAAAGCCACACACCTTGGATGCTGTGTATGGGATCCGGCTTAGGGCAGGTAGGTCATTCTTAGTGTCAGCTGCTTCTCTGGCCTCACACTGGAACCTAAAGAACCTGAGGAGCTGTGCAGACAGGACCTTGCTCTCTTGCTTTTCTCCACAAAGATCCCAAGACCAGTGCGTGATGATGTTACATTGTGGAAATAGACTGGAGCTGGGAAATACAGAATCTAGTGGGGCTGGGACTTAGCACAATTTCTGGATTGTGTTTATGTTTCTTGCAGTTTTGCAATCTTGAGGTTTATTTTCTTGTTGTTCTCTCTTTTAGAGTAAAAGCCTTAGAAAATTTCAGCTTTCTCCTAGTGTGTCAAAGTCAATCAACCAAAAGGCAGCAAGCACAAGTGTTCATGTCCATATTTATATTTGTACCAGAGTCCACCTCTGAAGGGCAGCATGATAATCAGTAAAGTTAGTGACCCTGAGAGGATATAAAGTTCAGGAGACAGGTAAAGGGTGGTATGTCTGAATTTCACTTAAGGAAATAGTACTATCTTGCCAGGATATGCACTGCTAACTTTTATGCACCTACCTGGTTATCCCAGGAAAACCTCCATAAATAGCATGAGTTATTGATCCAGTGCTATTTTTTATTAGTTTTGAGAGAGGGAGGAAGAGAGAGAGAGAAAGAGAAACATTGATCAGTTGCCTCCTGCGGTATGTGTCCTGACCTAGAATTGAACCCAACATCTTTTGGTGTATGGGACAACACTCCAACCAACTGAGCCTTACCACACACTGGCCAGGGTGATCTACTTTTTTTTGCTAATTTTTTGTGTGTGCTGCTAGGCACTTATAAACAACTAGAGGCCCAATGCATGAAATTCGTACATGGGTAGGGTCCCTCGCAGGTGCCTGCTGCCAGCCAGGGCCTGCCTTCCTGCAGTTGGCTGGCTAGCCCCATCCCCTGGTCGAACTCCCGGTCAAACTCCCAGTCAAGGGGACAATTTGCATATTAAGCTTTTATTATATAGGACTAGAGGCCTGGTGCACAAGATTCATGCACAGGGGGGTGTGGTCCCCTCAGTGAGCCTGCACCCTCTCCAATCTGGGACCCCTTGGGGGATGTCCGACTGCCGGTTTAGGCCCGATCCCCAGGATGTCAGTCAGACATCCCTCTCACAATCCAGGACCACTGGCTCCTAACTGCTCACTTGCCTATCTGCCTGATCACCCCTAACTACCCACCCTGCTAGCCTGGTCACCTCCAACTTCCCCCTGCCCCTGCCAACCTGGTCACCCCCAACTGCCTTCCTTGCCAGCCTGGTCACTCCTCACTGCCCTCCCTGCTGGCCTGGTCGCCCCACACAGCCTGCTATTTGGTTGCCCCTCACTGCCCCCACTGCCGGACTGGTCGCCCCACACAGCCTGTTGTTCAATCGTTTGGTTGTCCCTCACTAACACTCCTGCTGGCCTTGTCGCCCCACTCAGCCTGTTCAGTCGTCTGTTTGGTTGTTTTGGATATGATGGCCCCTGGTTCTTTATATATATAGATAAGAAGGAGAAAGTAATTTGCTTCTCAATTTTAATAAAGATAGCCAAACCATTAACCTGAGTTCTGGGCTGCTTTTCCTGTGAGGCTGTTCATTCATTTAATACCTATTACACCGCCGAAACCGGTTTGGCTCAGTGGATAGAGCGTCGGCCTGCGGACTGAAAGGTCCCGGGTTCGATTCTGGTCAAGGGCATGTGCCAGGGTTGCAGGCACATCCCCAGTGGGAGATGTGCAGGAGGCAGCTGATCGATGTTTCTCTCTCATCGATGTTTCTAACTCTCTATCTCTCTCCCTTCCTCTCTGTAAAAAATCAATAAAATATATTTTAAAAAAATACATATTACACCAATAAATTGAGCATCAGGCACTGAAGGGCTAGAAATATCATGGTGAGAAATAGAAACAAAAGTGTCACCTTCAGTGAGCTTATAGTGGAGAGAAAATGTGATCAAATAAACAGAAATACATTTGAAATTTGATGGGATAACTGTTGTGGTACAGTAAAAGCCTTCATCAAAGACAAAGGACCTCTCTTAGTGGGGCAGGGGAGGCTGGCTTCAGACAAGGCTTTCTTGAGGAAGTGACAATGAGCTAAGACTGGAAGGGAGAGAGGAGTTATTATGGAGTGAATGGGTAAAGAACATTCCTGGAAGAGGGAACAGCTTCTTGTTTTGGAAGGACAAGAACATCAAAAAGTTAAGCTGAAGCCCAGCTGCTGTGGCTCAGTGGTTGAGCACTGGCCCATGAACCAGGAGGTCAGGGGTTTGATTCCCAGTCAGGATACACACCTGGGTTGCAGGCTTGATCCCTAATTGAGGGCATGTAGGAGGCGGCCAATCAATGATTCTCTCTCATCATTGATGTTTCTATTCTTCTTTCTCTCTCCCTTCCTTTCTGAAATTAATTTAAACATTTTTAAAAAAATTAAGCTGGACTTGCTTGAAAGGTGGAAAGAATGGTGGCTGATGTTTCAAGAAGAGGATGTAACCTGAAACTTGTGAGGAAGATTCAGCTCTCCCAAGCCTGGAAGAAAGGATGGGGTTGAAGGGTGATATGGAGGGTAGCTGGGGGTGGTAGACTCCTGGACCTTGATGGGATGCAATGTCTCAGAGGTGGCCCAACTATGGGTGGTAACAAAGGGCTACATACTGGCTCTTCAGACCATGGAAGGTTGAAGGCAAGGATTAACACTTGATGGCTAATTCATAAGCACAAAAAGCAATGCAACAATAATACCTGAATGAGAGGCAATATGTGTGGTGGCGGGCTAAGTTCAAATCCCAGCTATACTATTCAACAGATTTTCTGCCTGGGCAGTTACTTGACTTCCTTGGGCCTCAGTTGCCTCACCTGTAAAGCAGAGATAACAAAATCTGTTATACCACGCGGTGGGGGGATTTTAATTGGCTAATACATGTGAAGTTTTTAGAAGTATCTGTCACAAAGTAAGTTCCACATACAAGTTAGGGGGGAAATGGCAGCCAGATGTGAGGTCCTCCTCCAATGATCTTGGAACCTGTACGGTCCTGAGGGGCCTGTAGGGGCCAGAGAGGCTCCAAAGTGGGCTGAATTCCCAGTTAAACTGTGGGAAATGGTTCGAGTTTGATTGGGAAAAACAAATGTTAATGTAACTTTTTTTTTGCACCGGAGTTCTCAGACCACTGCTCTTTCAGATCCATTGGCACGCTCCAAAGCAATTACATACATTCTAGGAAAAGTAGTCCTGGAGGTGAACCGGTTAAAGAAAAAGAAAGAACCCTGACCAGTTTGGCTCAGTGGATAGTCAGCCTGCGGACTGAAAGGTCCCAGGTTCGATTCCGGCACATTCCCAATAGGGGGTGTGCAGGAGGCAGCTGGTCGATGTTTCTCTGTCATTGATGTTTCTAACTCTCTATCCCTCTCCCCTCCTCTCTGTAAAAAATCAATAAAATATATTTTAAAAGGAAAAAAAAGAAAGGAAGATGCCGGATTTTAAGAGTCGCCAGTCCTCGAAGCCCTCAAATAAAGCCCTTCCCGCGGGCACGGGTAACGACCCCGGCACCAGCACTCGGGTTTGGTGGGCTAGCCTGAGAACCCAATGAACCACCACTGGAAATCGATGTTCCGGGGAAAGCCCCAACATCTGAAACGCTCTGTCCTGATTTGTGCGATCCAGCTGCGGCTCAAGAGGGAAACAGGGAGTAATTCACAACATCACGACATATCTGGGAAGCTCTCAGAGACCAGGCTCGGCGCGGTCTCCTGCCTCGCTCCGCCGTCACCCAAACAGAAAAGCAAAGATACAAACGTTAATGATGACCAAGACCCGGAACGGCCCCCACCGCTCAGAAGCCCGGTAGGTGTGGGTCTCAGGCAG